TTGTAGAAGTCATATTATTTTTAATGGTTAATAATTATCGAGTGTTTTTGAAAAAAATACAAATAATCATTGATTTAAATATTTTAAAAAAATCTTCGTAAAATTATTATTGTTATAATTCGAAGCAGAGTTTTCTGAGATATTTCATAAATCTTATCTATCCTAAAATAAAAAATTATATCAATATCGGAGACAGGGATTTGGCAAACTACTTTATTAAAAAAATTATCCATAACCTCAAAACCTTTTAATGCATTGGGAAGCAATGGTATCAATAGATACCTATAACTAAAACTAATATGGGGAATTATCATAAATATATCAACATTTATTACAAAATTTTTAATTTTTTTTTCCAAAAAAGTCCCAACATTGTGGTAAAATCAAACTAACTTGTGTTTCCAAAATATTGAACTTGGGGGGCCTTATAATATATAAAAATCCCATATATGGAATAAATTTTAAATATTTAATTGTTTAAATGAAATTATAAAGTGTATAGAATAAAGCTTATATCCAAAATGTAAAATAAAATTGAAATATGTTTTTTTTATAATTTTATAATTTGTAGTCTCATAAAATTTGTTTAGTTAATCAAAATAACTTAAGACAAAACATAAATTTAATTTTATGATGTATTTCAAGGTACCCTATGGTTATTCATGAATAAAAGAATAAATGCTTAAAAAAACTTTCTTCAAATTATGAAAGGGTTTAAACATATTTGGCGTCAAAATTTAATTTTACAGAAAAAAATTGGTAAGACAATTTTTACACTTTAAATCAGTTATTGATTCGTGTGTTTTTTTTTAAAATTAAATCCAAAATGTAATTTTGACAGAAATCTATTCCAATATGCGTTGAATAGTAACCCTAGACTTTCAGTCAAACCATATAAAAATTAGCTTTTAAAAATATTTTTACACCCCCACCCCCTCTACTCCCACCTTTCAGACCAAGTCATACCCATCAAGACCAAGAAAAAAGACTTTTATTCAAACCATATTAAAATTAGCTTTTATTTGATACCCATATCAAAAAAAATTAATTTTTTACACCCCTCCTCCAATTCATACACACCCCCCCCCCCCCTCCAATCCTAGATCAAGTCATACGCATTCAGACCAAGAATGAAGACTTTCAGTCAAATTATATTAAAATTAGCTTTTATTTGATACCAGTATCGATATTTTGTGTTGATAAAAATATTTCTGACCCCCTAAGACCTAGACCCGCCCATTATGGGGGAGAGATTGACTTCCAGAATAGATCTTTTGATTAGCTATCGATTGATACCCTATATTCAGTGGCGTAGCTACGGGGGTGGTTTTCGGGTTTGGACCCCTTCCAGAGCAAAAATTTATTTTTAGATTATACGTTCAAAAGACTTATAAGTGGTGACTTTATATCAAATAAATATCAATAATATTTATATTTTTCTGGTTTTGATGTTTGTGGAAGGATATTATATTACTATTGAAATTATTCTGGATAGTATTATTATAAAGTTATTGAGAATAATCTACTAAATTATAAAACAAATTATTGATGCATTTAAAAATATATTTATTATATATTATCGAAGATATGGTTATGATTTGTAAGATAAACCCGGCCGAAGGCCGGGCAAAAGGGCTGAAGAGGGGGTCTGGGGGGCGAAGTCCCCCAGACTTTTATATGTATGGACCCCATCTAAGGAAAATTTCTAGCTACGCCACTGGCTATATTAGATATTGCTAATTTCATAAGGCCTAAAAAAACAACATTGAAAATTAATGAATAACAATAAAATTAAAAAACGAAATGAAACGCGCGAAAAACGATTTTTAAAATAAGATTCTTCTATATCATGGTTCAAACGTGATAATCCCGTATAGTTGTATATCCTTTAAAAAATTGAAATTTTAAAGGGATCCCTTTAAATCCCGTGAAGATCCCGAGTTATGATCGCTTTAAAAATTACGACATATCTATGCTGGAAAAAAAACGTAAAGAATTGTTAAAATAATGGACCTAAATTTATAAATTATTTTTAAAAATACAAAAGAATTATCAAAAATGAGAAGAAGAAAAATAGAGAAAAAAATATAGTAAGAAAAATAAATTGAGAAAAGATACAAATAAAGTAAAGAAATGGCAAAAATTTAGAAATAAAATGAGAAGAAATGACAAAAATAAATAAAAATTTAAGAAAAATTTAAAAATTACGATTTTCCTATTTTGAATAGAAATTTTCCTTTTTTTGATTGACACTTTTCTTTTCCTTTTGACACTTTTCTTTTCCTTTTGACACTTTTCCTTTTTTGATTGAACCTTTTCCTTTTATAATTGACCCTTTTCCTTTTTTGATCGGACCTTGTCATTTTATGATTGAAACTTTTCCTTTTTTGATTGGGACTTTTCCATTTTCGAATGGGAAACTCTGTAAATGTCAATTATAAATAGACATATACAAACATATCAGTTGTCTCTTAAACAATTTTTATTTTATATATTTTTATGTTGAAGTGAAAAAAAACAAATTTACTCTCGTGAGATAATAGCAACACAAAAAAATATGTAAAATATTTATATAGAGATTTATTGATTGAAAACACATAATGGGTGATCTTTTAACGTCTCTTCTGCCTCAATCTTCTGAGAGTGGTCACGCCGCGGTTGCCTTGGTGTCGTAGTTCTTACTATTGGAGGCTTCGTTGTTATTGGATTTCTATTTCCTTCCAAATATAAAATTTTAGAATTTTGAAATAAATTCTTCCAACATTTTTTGAATTAGCCCAAAATTTTAGGCAAAATTTCTTTACATAAAAAAATTTGGAATTTTAGAACAAATTTGAACAAAATCCTGCTTGAGAATTCTCGAAAAAATTCTCATTTATTTTAAAAATATCTACATTAGAAAAATTAAGACTTAAAATAAATCTTCATTTAAATCTTCTATCTTCATTTAAAATAATCGACACAAATATTATCATTTCATTTTAAAAAAATCTTCTATTAAAAATTTTTTTAAAAAAAATCTTCATTTAAATATTCTATCTTCATTTAAAAAAATCTCCATGAAAAAAAAATCTAAATAAAAATTTTTATTTAAAAAAATCTTCATTTTAAAAAAATCTACAATTAAAAATTTTTTTAAAAAATCTTCATTTAAATATTCTATCTTCATTTAAAAAATCTTCATTAAAATAAAATCTATATAAAAATTTTTATTTAAAAAGATCTTCATTTTAAAAAAATCTTCATTTAAAAAAATCTTCATTAAAAAAAAATCTATATAAAAATTTTTATTTAAAAAAATCTTCATTTAACTCTACAATGTTCATTTAAATAAAATCTTTAGATAATAAAATATTCTTTTTTAATATAAAAAAATGATGATAGTCGAATCAGCTGGCCATTCACCAAAAAGGAGATAGCAAATTTTGTCTAACCACCTCTCTAGCTGCCTTATAGTCGTAAAAAAAATATGTTAACCCTAAATTTTATATTTGATTCATATATACTTCTTTTTTTTATTGTATTGATTTTATGAATGTTTAAAATTATTATAAAATAATTATATATTAAATTCATATGATGCCCTATCACTATTCACTCTATAATGCCAATAAAAAATATCTAATTCTTATTAATTTAAATTCCTGATAGTTCAATCGTGGAGGCCATATCATAAAACTCATTTTGTTCCATAAATTATTCAAGATACATAATATCTTGCGAGGCATTTCAGAAAGCCCATAATCAACGAATTATTTATTTATTAAAAATTTGACATTCACTCTTTTATTGCTTGACCCTGATGATCATTGAACTTAATATACATGACTCTCAAATTATTTTAACTTAGATTTAAAAAAACAACCAGATTGAACTTAGTATAGAACTGAAACTGACTTGATTCCTTTCTTAAACAAATGCGCTGAAAATGTTAGCGGTTTGAAGTAGAAGTCTGCATTGGGCGAGTTTTTGGACCATAAGCCTGCCCACCCAAAAAATTTAACCCGCCCGCTCAGCCCACTCATTGGTCTAAAATATTTTACCCACCCAAAATTATTTATAAAAATGTTTCAACTCAAGCCCGTATTATAAAAATTAATTATGGTCATTCTTTCAATATTTTAAGCATCTAAAAAAAATAATTTCAGCATTACACCTATACAAAAAGTTTTATAAATTAGGAAATTACTATATCAAGTATATAAAAAAATATTCAATTTAAATTATTTTGAAAAAAAATATAAAAAAATGGATATTATATGAAATTATAATGCAAAAAATATAAAAAAAAAGGGAATGACTAAAATACGCGTCCCCGAAAACTACGCGTCCCTACGCGTCCCCGGTCAAAATACAGTTTTTTTTAAAAAATAAAAACAGATTCATATTTAACTCATTAAAAGAATACAGAATATGTAAATATTATATTTTAAAGTATTTTATAACTTAGTGATTTTTTCAAAAACACTACGCGTCCCCGGTCAAAAAACCGTTTTTTTTTAAAAATAAAAGCAGATTCATGTTTAGCTTTTCAAGGAGATTCAGAAAATGGTATTAATAAAAAAAATTTAAAAAAAAAAATTTTATTTATTTTTTTTAAAAAAATATTATATTCCATACGGTAAAATTTGATATTTAATTAACTTTTTTTATCTTCTATTTCAAAGATGACATCTACTAACTGTGACATTATATAAATGAATTATTTTACCTGATAATAGTCAATTATAATTTTGTTAATATATTATGTAATATTCCACTACTTTATTAATTATTGGACGTTTGTCCTACTTAAATAGGGAGTGATTCTTAATAATATTTAATTAATATTAACAAATTCGGAAGTATTTAAGTTATGTTAAATTGTAGTTTTAATCTCCATGATATTTAGTGCCATCTATAATATTATATTTTATTTTTAAAAACATTATATTTTTTAGTTGAAATGTAAATATAATAAGTGGAAACTTAGACAAAGACAAAACAATATAATTTCAAGGATGTATACTGTTGATCCTAAATTAGGCGAGAGATTTTTCTTACGTTTACTATTACTTCATGTTGTTGGCGCCACAAGTTTTGAATATTTGAGAACTGTAAATGGAGTTTTATATAATACTTTTAAAGAGGCGGCTTTTAAAAGAAATTTATTGGTTGATGACAAGGAATGGGAAGCATTTATGGAAGAAGCGTCAACATTTTTAATGCTCATACAGTTGCGTCAATCTTTTGCCTTTATTTGTATTTTTTGTCAGCCAGAAAATCCAAATAACCTCTGGGAAAAATTTAAAAAATATATGATAGTAGATTTCGCACATACCCATACAGATTCTATTGCAATTAATATGGCCTTATCAGATATAGAAAAAGTATTGCACGACCATGGTTTTCGTTGTAGTAATTTCAATTTGCCTGTTCCTACTTTAATAGCTCACGATGATTTCTATAATAATGATCTTGAGGCAGCTGAGGCATTGAAACTAATTACTAAATTAAATTTTTTACAAAAATCAGCCTTTGATTTAATCGTTCAATCTATCGAAAATAATGATTTTCCTCAGCGTTGTTTTTATATTGATGGTCCAGGTGGATCGGGAAAAACTTTTTTGTATAATACCCTAATGTGCTACATTAGAGGACGCAACCAAATAGTTTTACCGTTTGCAACAACAGGCATTGCCGCTATTCTTTTAAAAGGGGGTAGAACAATACATAGTGGATTTAAATTACCTATTCCGATTGTTGATAACACTGTATCTCTCATGAGTCTTCATTCCCTTGATGCTACTGTTATTAAAAGGTCCAAATTAATTATTATCGACGAAGCTACAATGATGACTAAATACGCTTTACGCTGTATCGATAGATTACTTAAAGATATAATGCAAACACAGTTCCCATTCGGTGGTAAAGTTATATTATTGGTAGGCGATTTTAGGCAAACTTTACCTGTCATTCCAAACAGTTCAAAAGCATATATTATTGAATCGTGTCTTAAGTCTTCTGATTTATGGGTTTATTTTAAAGTTATCCACCTGAATGAAAATATATTGTTATCTTCTGAAGATGTTGAGTATAATTCCTGGCTTTTGAATGTTGGAGAATCTTTATCAAATGTTTCCAATCCTTTACTCCCTCCAGATTCGATTGTTATCCCAAATTCATTATTAGAAAATTCATTAATCAAATCAATATATGGAGACTCCATACAAATATCTGATATTAACCTATTTTCAAAAAAAATTATATTAACCACTAAAAATAACATAGCCTTAAAATTAAATAACGTAATTATTCAAAAACTACCAGGAAATTCTAAGATATATTTTAGCGCCGATTCTATACAAACAGACAATCCTGAGGATTTACTTAATTTCCCCATTGAATTTCTTCATTCTCAAACCCCATCAGGAATGCCTCCTCATATTTTAAATCTTAAAGTTGGGACAATAATAATGCTTCTTCGTAACATGAATCCCAGCAGAGGCTTATGCAATGGGACACGACTTCTTATCAAAAATTTACATGATAATTTCATAGATTCTGAAATATTATCAAGGACGCATAATTGCCATCGCGTTTTTATTCCTCGAATTGATCTTTCCCCGAGCGATTCCCGGTTACCTTTCATATTAAAAAGACTCCAATTTCCTATAATTCCTGCTTTTGTTATCTCTATAAACAAAAGTCAAGGTCAAACATTCGACAATGTCGGCCTCTTTCTTCATGAACCAGTGTTTTCCCATGGTCAGCTCTATGTCGCTCTAACACGTTGCAGATTTAAAAAAAATATGAAAATAAAAATATTACCTACAAAATACCAGGGCACACTTTTGAATGATAATAGAGTATTTACTCTTAATGTCGTATATCAGGACGTATTAAATTCTGTAACTTCAAGTTAATTCATCAAAAAACGTCACTACATCCACCAAAAACATCATAGACACGATACCATCATCATCATCAGTAAATTTTAATTTATACTTCCAATTTACAAGTTTTATTTCCAGTTATTTACGGCAAGTTACGAGCAAGGAAAATGAAATCAAAAAAACGACACTACATCGACCAAAAACATCATAGACACGATACCATCATCATTATCAATAATATTTACTATATTATATTTTTTTATATGGTTACAAATGTATATGTGTTGGAACCCCATAACGTTAAGTCTTAAGGTATACACAATTATTATATTTTCTTATTCATATCTTTGTCTCTTTTTTTCTATTTCTTCCTTCTTTTATTCCTTCTTTTTTTCATATCTTTGCTCCCCTAAAATCCATCTCCTACCTTCACGCGGTGGGGAGTGAACAGAAATGCTGACTAACAGGAGCCTGGTGGATAATGTAATATTTGGGGTTCCAATAAGAGACATTGTTTCCATGTAATAAATCTTAATTATTGGGTAAAATTTTCTTTTATCTTTTAAATGTGAGCAAGGTGTATATTTGTGTCCTTTATTGACAATAAAGAAAATGTCTCAAGCACCGGGATGTCTCGACTATATTTAAGAACCTGGGAGCCCTAATATCTATCATCCTTTCATAGATTGAGTTTTTAAAGATATAAAAATAGTTATAAAGGAGAAAATTCTAATTCCCCGTCATTCTTGACGGGTTATTAGCTAGTAAGATGGTAAACATCATAATATGTTTACCATTGTGATTTTTTTTGCAAATATATAATCACATTACAAAATATTTCTTAATCATAACCATTAAACAGTTGAAGAAGGGGGGGGGGTGGGGAGCGAAGAAAATATGTTTTTAAATAATTTTTATTTTTTAGACCTAAATAAGTTGAAGGGGATTGATAAATTTTTATTTAAGTTAAAAAAATTGTTATTTATTTTTTAATTATTATTATTGAAAATTTATCTATATAAGATATATAGATAATTATTAAATTTATAAAATTTCTTGTCACAACTGTGACATTATATAGTTAATTATTTTAACCAGATAATTAGTTTGTTAATATATTATGTAATATTCAACTTCTTTATTAATTATTGGACGTTTGTCCTACTTAAATAGGGAGTGATTCTTAATAATATTTAATTAATATTAACAAATTCTGAAGTATTTAAGTTATGTTAAATTGTAGTTTTAATCTCCATGATATTTAGCGCCATCTATAATATTATATTTTATTTTAAATAGCATTATATTTCTAAGTTGAAATGTAAATATAATAAGTGGAAACAATATAATTTCAAGGATGTATACTGTTGATCCTAAATCCGGCGAGAGATTTTTCTTACGTTTACTATTACTTCATGTTGTTGGCGCCACAAGTTTTGAATATTTGAGAACTGTAAATGGAGTTTTATATAATACTTTTAAAGAGGCGGCTTTTAAAAGAAATTTATTGGTTGATGACAAGGAATGGGAAGCATTTATGGAAGAAGCGTCAACATTTTTAATGCTCATACAGTTGCGTCAATCTTTTGCCTTTATTTGTATTTTTTGTCAGCCAGAAAATCCAAATAACCTCTGGGAAAAATTTAAAAAATATATGATAGTAGATTTCGCACATACCCATACAGATTCTATTGCAATTAATATGGCCTTATCAGATATAGAAAAAGTATTGCACGACCATGGTTTTCGTTGTAGTAATTTCAATTTGCCTGTTCCTACTTTAATAGCTCAGGATGATTTTTATAATAATGATCTTGAGGCAGCTGAGGCATTGAAACTAATTACTAAATTAAATTTTTTACAAAAATCAGCCTTTGATTTAATCGTTCAATCTATCGAAAATAATGATTTTCCTCAGCGTTGTTTTTATATTGATGGTCCAGGTGGATCGGGAAAAACTTTTTTGTATAATACCCTAATGTGCTACATTAGAGGACGCAACCAAATAGTTTTACCGTTTGCAACAACAGGCATTGCCGCTATTCTTTTAAAAGGGGGTAGAACAATACATAGTGGATTCTTATTTAGGTCTAAAAAATAAAAATTATTTAAAAACATATTTTCTTCGCTCCCCAACCCCCCCCCCTTCTTCAACTGTTTAATGGTTATGATTAAGAAATATTTTGTAATGTGATTATATATTTGCAAAAAAAATCACAATGGTAAACATATTATGATGTTTACCATCTTACTAGCTAATAACCCGTCAAGAATGACGGGGAATTAGAATTTTATCCTTTATAACTATTTTTATATCTTTAAAAACTCAATCTATGAAAGGATGATAGATATTAGGGCTCCCAGGTTCTTAAATATAGTCGAGACATCCCGGTGCTTGAGACATTTTCTTTATTGTCAATAAAGGACACAAATATACACCTTGCTCACATTTAAAAGATAAAAGAAAATTTTACCCAATAATTAAGATTTATTACATGGAAACAATGTCTCTTATTGGAACCCCAAATATTACATTATCCACCAGGCTCCTGTTAGTCAGCATTTCTGTTCACTCCCCACCGCGTGAAGGTAGGAGATGGATTTTAGGGGAGCAAAGATATGAAAAAAAGAAGGAATAAAAGAAGGAAGAAATAGAAAAAAAGAGACAAAGATATGAATTATAAGAAAATATAATAATTGTGTACCTTAAGACTTAACGATTATGGGGTTCCAACACATATACATTTGTAACCATATTAAAAAATATAATATAGTAAAATTTATTGATAATGATGATGGTATCGTGTCTATGATGTTTTTGGTCGATGTAGTGTCGTTTTTTTGATTTCATTTCCTTGCTCGTAACTTGCCGTAAATAACTGGAAATAAAACGTGTAAATTGGAAGTATAAAATAAAATTTACTGATGATGATGATGGTATCGTGTCTATGATGTTTTTGGTGGATGTAGTGTCGTTTTTTGATGAATTAACTTGAAGCTACAGAATTTAATACGTCCTGATATACGACATTAAGAGTAAATACTCTAATCATTCAAAAGTGTGCCCTGGTATTTTGTAGGTAATATTTTTATTTTCATATTTTTTTAAATCTGCAACGTGTTAGAGCGACATAGAGCTGACCATGGGAAAACACAGGTTCAGGAAGAAAGAGGCCGACATTGTCGAATGTTTGACCTTGACTTTTGTTTATAGAGATAACAAAAGCAGGAATTATAGGAAATTGGCGTCTTTTTAATATGAAAGGCAACCGGGAATCGCTCGGGGAAAGATCAATTCGAGGAATAAAAACGCGATGGCCATTATGCGTCCTTGATAATATTTCAGAATCTATGAAATTATCATGTAAATTTTTGATAAGAAGTCGTGTCCCATTGCATAAGCCTCTGCTGGGATTCATGTTACGAAGAAGCATTATTATTGTCCCAACTTTAAGATTTAAAATATGAGGAGGCATTCCTGATGGGGTTTGAGAATGAAGAAATTCAATGGGGAAATTAAGTAAATCCTCAGGATTATCTGTTTGTATAGAATCGGCGCTAAAATATATCTTAGAATTTCCTGGTAGTTTTTGAATAATTTCGTTATTTAAATTTAGGGCTATGTTATTTTTAGTGGTTAATATAATTTTTTTTGAAAATAGGTTAATATCAGATATTTGTATGGAGTCTCCATATATTGATTTGATTAATGAATTTTCTAATAATGAATTTGGGATAACAATCGAATCTGGAGGGAGTAAAGGATTGGAAACATTTGATAAAGATTCTCCAACATTCAAAAGCCAGGAATTATACTCAACATCTTCAGAAGATAACCGTATATTTTCATTCAGGTGGATAACTTTAAAATAAACCCATAAATCAGAAGACTTAAGACACGATTCAATAATATATGCTTTTGAACTGTTTGGAATGACAGGTAAAGTTTGCCTAAAATCGCCGCCCAATAATATAACTTTACCACCGAATGGGAACTGTGTTTGCATTATATCTTTAAGTAATCTATCGATACAGCGTAAAGCCTATTTAGTCATCATTGTGGTTTCGTCGATAATAATTAATTTGGACCTTTTAATAACAGTAGCATCAGGGGAATGAAGACTCATGCGAGATACAGTGTTATCAACAATCGGAATAGGTAATTTAAATCCACTATGTATTGTTCTACCCCCATTTAAAAGAATAGTGGCAATGCCTGTTGTTGCAAACGGTAAAACTATTTGGTTGCGTCCTCTAATGTAGCACATTAGGGTATTATACAAAAAAGTTTTTCCCGATCCACCTGGACCATCAATATAAAAACAACGCTGAGGAAAATCATTATTTTCGATAGATTGAACGATTAAATCAAAGGCTGATTTTTGTAAAAAATTTAATTTAGTAATTAGTTTCAATGCCTCAGCTGCCTCAAGATCATTATTATAAAAATCATCCTGAGCTATTAAAGTAGGAACAGGCAAATTGAAATTACTACAACGAAAACCATGGTCGTGCAATACTTTTTCTATATCTGATAAGGCCATATTAATTGCAATAGAATCTGTATGGGTATGTGCGAAATCTACTATCATATATTTTTTAAATTTTTCCCAGAGGTTATTTGGATTTTCTGGCTGACAAAAAATACAAATAAAGGCAAAAGATTGACGCAACTGTATGGGCATTAAAAATGTTGACGCTTCTTCCATAAATGCTTCCCATTCCTTGTCATCAACCAATAAATTTCTTTTAAAAGCCGCCTCTTTAAAAGTATTATATAAAACTCCATTTACAGTTCTCAAATATTCAAAACTTGTGGCGCCAACAACATGAAGTAATAGTAAACGTAGGAAAAATCTCTCGCCGGATTTAGGATCAACAGTATACATCCTTGAAATTATATTGTTTTGTCTTTGTCTAAGTTTCCACTTATTATATTTACATTTCAACTTAGAAATATAATGCTATTTAAAATAAAATATAATATTATAGATGGCGCTAACATAACTTAAATACTTCCGAATTTGTTAATATTAATTAAATATTATTAAAAATCACTACCTATTTAAGTAGGACAAACGTCCAATAATTAATAAAGAAGTTGAATATTACATAATATATTAACAAAATTATAATTGACTATTATCAGATAAAATAATTCATTTATATAATGTCAGAGTTGTGACAAGCCTAAAGACAGTTGATGTCATCTATATAATATTTTTTTAAAAAAAATAAATAAAATTATATAAATTTAAATTTTTTAGAAAAAATTTTTTTTTTTAATATTTTTTATTAATATGAAAAGCTAAACATGAATCTGCTTTTATTTAAAAAAAAAACGGTTTTTTGAAAAAATCACTAAGTTATAAAATACTTTAAAATATAATATTTACATATTCTGTATTCTTTTAATGAGTTAAATATGAATCTGTTTTTATTTTTTTAAAAAAAACTGTATTTTGACCGGGGACGCGTAGTTTATTTTATAAAAAAATAAATTTTTATAAATTTTATTTAGTTACCGTATTTTTTTTAAATTAAAAAAAACATTTTCTAACTCATATTATAAAGCTTAATAAGATTTCCTATTAATAATATTAAAAATAAGTCTTTTTGACCGGGGACGCGTAGGGACGCGTAGTTTTCGGGGACGCGTATTTTAGTCATTCCCTAATATTTGATTATCCAATCATTTTCATAAAGTTATATTAGCAATAAAAATTTTATGTTTGAGATGTACATTTTATAATTATATCCGATTACATCATTTCTTCTATACACTTTATAAATTTTTTTTAATTAAATGCCAAGGATAACATGGTTGAGATCTACAGTTTATGTTTTTATATTTTTATATAAATTTAAGTTAAAACTTTTTAAAATTAATTGTCAGGAATTGAAATGAATGCGTTTTTTAAAAAAAAATAGAATAAATGTGTTTATTAAAATCCTGTTAAAGTCATTTTCTTTATCTCTATATGAGAATTTAATTACCAACAATCTTTGCCAAAAAAATTCTTATCAAAGAATATAATTAATTAATATTTTATTATGATTATATAAAAAAAACTTAAAATATATATAAATTAATTTAATATTGTAAACTTTATTCATTTTTTTGGCAATTAATTTTCTTAAAATTCAGTATGAAATTACTAGCAAATATTATTGCCTGTCTGGTTATTCTAGGTGGGTAATTATGCATTTTATGATAAAGAACCAATTTATTGAAATATTAAATTTTAGGCTTATTTGATCATTTCTCCAAAACCAATGGCTCTGACGGTAAAATAATAATTTTCATATTTTGTAATTATATTACATTTAATCATAATTTATTATGATACCTACGGTTAATAAATTATGCAATTGATCAATTATTTTAGTTTAGTTTATATACTAAAAAATAAATAATCTTTATATTTTAATTGATATTTGGCAAATTTTAAACTTCATGAATTTCTAATTTTAGTGTTGGTAAAAGATACTTTTCATAAGTATCTACATACAGATAAAATTTATCCAAGATAAATTTTTAATATAATTATTTAAAGTGCTCATAATTTCTAATTTAGGATTGTTAAAATATTTTGAAGTGCTAAAAAATTTATTGTATAATTAAATATTGCTATATAAGGGGTAACAGTTCCTTCTCGCAGGACAGGATTTCATAAACTTAAAATTTTAAATATGACTGATGATTCTTGTTAAATTCGTTCAGAGAAAAAAAAATAATTGAAGCAAAACTTATTAATCTAATGAAACTATAGTTTAATGGTGAGGATTGGATTCTTACTCATATAATTATTTTTGTGATTTTATTCTCACAATTTTGGCATAGATTTTTTGCCTATAGAAGCATGCTAATAAGATATATTAAGATATTAATTTTTAAATGAGATTAAGAGATTTGCCAAACCCCGGGGGTTTACCTAATCCCAGTCTCTCCTAATAAGTATTTTATTAAAATTATATATATTGTAGTAAGAATATTATCATTTAAATTTAACAACAGAAAAAAAATTATATAAAAATTCTAATAATCATATCTCTTAAAAATAATTGTAATGATTCTACAATAGCAAAATACCGCTACGATAGTGATTCCACATCCCAGTCCTACAAGCCTGTCTTTTAAAAAGAAATATATCCTATTACAAAATACCAAATAATGATGAGGATTTAGATTTAGTTATAGCAATAAACCTAAAATATAGAAGAAAAAAAAGAAAACGTATTTATGAATAATGATCATTGTAGCAGCATTTAATTATTAAAATTATTATTTTCGATTTTTTCTATTTTCCATTAAGAGCTCTGGTCATTTCTTTGCTCACCCAACCTCATTAGTTTTTTTGCACGGGTCTGACACAAATAAATTATCATGGGCCGTGTCGGGAATAGTAGATCTTAAAATCCATCCTATTGAGCACTTACATTATAGCTTTTTATAATTTTATTAAGCAAAGAGATACCCTTGAACCCCTCTCTTCCATTGATAAAAATGACATCAATCTATATTTATTTTGGACGATAACATTTAATATCTTGATGATGGCACTATATTTTGAGCTTTATCTAGGGTTATTAGAGCTTAATATTTTATTAAAACCAATTCAAAACATATAAGCCTAATCATAAACAAAACTAAAAAAGAAATCTGTTGTCTAGGTAATCATACAATTATCTCAATATGTTGAATTTAAGGATCTAAGTGTTTTTATGTAATTGGATCTTATATTTAGATAAACCAAAAAATAAATCTTTAATATTTTTTTTAATATAAATTTTTTATAATTTACTATTTATCCAATAATGTAATATTGGCATCAAATGGGTCCAAGTCTGTAATTTAGCAAGATATCCTAGTTCTATATGTATTGACTTTGTTCAAAATAAAATCTAGAAACATTAAAAACTCAGAAGAATTTCTCTACTTATAAAAGAGAGTTAAACCTTTGCAATAAAACCTAACTTGCATATATTATTTTATATTTTAATAAAAATTAGAATTCGGTTGTGCAAAAGTCTTATGTGTTTACATCAAAATATAATTTTCATTTATAAATTAATTATTTGTATATAATTTCAAAAAATCTTTTGGCAATAGATGCATGATAATCCCCGGTGTCTCATAATATAACTGATTAATAGTGGTTTCTTAATTTAAAATGTAGAAAGAGTAATATCAGAATGCTTGTATACTAAGAATATATAAAACGATTTAAATGCAACGTAAAATAAACAAATTCGGAAGTCTTAAGTTCGATGATATTAAATTCATTTTATTTATTAATTGTTTTAAAATTATAAAACAAATATATTTAAATTATCTTTATTTATATTCAACACTCAAACTTGAAATATTTAAGGCAAATAATATGTATAACTTTGATAATTATAATTCAATTATAAGTGTTATGTTATCATTCTAAATCCTTTCTATATGATTTTAATTTCATCTCTATATCATAAAAATGATTATCTTTTGATATAATTATATTATGAACTTCCATAAAGTTTATAATTAAAATGATATATAGTTAAAAAATGAACAGATTATTCATATAATATATAAATTAATAATTAAATTATTTTATAACTACAGTATGCCATTTACCAGTGGATCCTGGACCATGCGAAGCTTTGGTTGAAAGGTGGTATTACAACGCTGGAGAAGGAAAATGTTTAGCTTTTAACTATGGGGGTTGCCGCGGGAATGGAAATAATTTCTCATGCAGGGGAAATTGTCAACGGGCTTGCATAAGATAACTAAAGCTTTAATCTCTAATATTATATATTTCATATTTCTTATTACAAAATTTGATTATAATATATTATATATTATAAACTTAAAATTCTATATTTCTAATAAATCGATACATTTCTTTAACATGATATTATAAATATATAAATTTACATTATCAAACAAGTTATAAAAAGTTATTAATTTTATATCTCTCAGTCTATACTAATTTCAAACTTTGGTCAACAACCACGTCAATTTATATTAAAAATAATTTATTTGAATATAATATAACTAAATAATATTACATGAAGCTATAAAAAAAATAACGAATCAAAAAATTTAAAGAAAAACTTGATTATATTTTTAAAAAGAAACAATAGTTGAATTTAAAAATATTTCTTTGAACATTTAGCCCAAATATCAAGAATTCCCTAGATGAAAGTTAGTGTGATTAATATTTAAAAGAAACCGAAGATCATAAAAGCCAACTGTTGGTTGGTAGAAGTTGAAAATGGTGATAATATAAAACTTCTGAGGTTTTTATATATGTTAAATTTTTTTAATCATTGTTAAAGTAAATAGGTTGTTATTATATTAGTAGAAGAAAGGTGGGACACAAATACAATCCTAAATAAGAATTCTCATGAAACAGTTTATAGCTATTAGGCCATCAGATCTAGATCGGTATCTGTGGATAGATTCTAAGATTCTAGAATATTAGGTATATGAGCCTTTTAATAATTTATCAATTTTTATGCAATTAAGACCAAGTCTGCCCCTGGCATTTACTAGGAGATTGCAGTTGATGCAATATGAACTAGGTTAAATCCAAATCTATTTTATTTTTCATTCATTAAAGGATTTCCTAGGTTTTAAGTCGACGAGGCTTCCTTCCAGTCATTCATTTTATCTTCATTTTGAAAGATTTGAATGAATCTAGGTTAAAAATATTTCCAGGTAAAGATATAAAAAGTACTTCTAATTATTAATTTTTTAAATGGATAAAAAGAGAAGGAACATAATAAATATAGTATTTTGGGGATATAAGCATTTGGAAATAATATAAAGAGTCTGGTTACTTAAAAAATTTCCGCCTTAAAGATTTTGGATAATGAATACTCAGATGTAGTAAAAATATTAAATATTCTAGATATTATATAGGAGAATCTAAATGTATGTAGAATATCTATTGCATAGAATAACCTATACTAAAACATTTTGATTATTATATTATTTGAATCTAAATTACACAGGTGCGTACGCAGCGGCGGAGGGGGGGCAGGGGGACAAATTCCCCACCCCCTCTTCCCGTCAAAGCCAAAAAATGCAGATGCCGGATCATATTTTTCAAAAATATTATTGTTAATATTAATCTATATTTGTTAATATTTATTCCTATCTCATATATCTATTTAATTACATTTATTTATCACATTCATCTACTAAGTTATTTTATCAATTAATTTAGATTTCAAGTTTTCCTTGGCGTAAATTACCTATTATTTTCAAATTTTAGTGGCGTATTATTTATCTATATTTCTAGTCAAAATAATAATCTTTAAAACTCCTTGTCCAACAGGGATAAAGAAATTTTAAGCTTGTCCAACGAGATCGAGTCTCTGCCATCAAGCAGTAAGAGCTTTTATGGAGTTAGAAGAGCCGATTATTAATGATATTACTGAAATATCACAATGGCTTAAAAGAAATATTTCCTCAGAAGCAAGAAAATTATTGGATTTAATACTTATTCCAAATTATTTTTCTCATTAGAATCTATTATTTAATTATACAACTATTATATGTAATACTTTTCAAAAAAATGGCATTGACTTGATTAAGAAGATGATAATAGCGGAGAACATTTTATTATAACTCAGGAAATTAGAACTAATGTTGATGAAGAATTTCATATTTTATATGTTATTGTTGAGTCAAAAGCATAGCTATACGTGTTTGATATTTGTCCCCCTCAACTTGCAGCAAGCAACATCGTCAAAACATTAATATAGGATCAGTAGAAGATTATAGAACAAATGTCCTCTCTTAAATACATTTTCAAATAAATGAATGGTTTTTAATACATTATGCAGCACTTACAAATCGGCAGATATTACTTCTACAAAAGCCTTTCCAACCTTTTTCAAATGATGATAGAAAAAAAAATATTTGTTAGATTTTTATCATGAGATGCCTTATTAGCTGAATATATATGATTAAAAGATTAGCTATGGTTGATACAGCCCCAATGGATGCTTTGCATTATTTCAAACACATTTTAGATTATAATCCCACTATATTAAAATGGTTATATAAATATATTAGCAACTCTTCCCATTAATTAACTAATGAGAGAACATTCTCTTTTTTAAGAAGAACAGAGCCCTGCAGCCAGATTTTTTTAAAATTTTTTTTACGGCCCAGCCCGGGTTTTTTTAAAAAAATTTTCAGGCCCGGCCCGGCTTTTTTAAAAATAATTTTTAGACCAGGCCAGAATTTTTTTAAAATAGATTTTATTTATTTTTGATTTATATTTAAAATATTTGGTTTTAAAATATACAGCTCGGCCGGAAAATTTTTATGCCCAGCCTGGGTGTTGTTTTTTTAAAAAATTCTGGCCCGGCCCAGGTATGTTTAAAAAAATTAAAATACTATCCGACTCAGGGGCCGGGCCTGCAAGTCTCTGAAAAACATACCTATGAAATACAACTTAAGTAGATTGAATGATTTGGATCTTTTGAATATTCATAGGCATGTAACGCCAAGCAAGGACAGATTGTTGAAAAATTAACTCAAAACATACAAAATATAATTATTCCTAAGAAACTTTTTGTGTATTAAATTATATTTCCAACATTTAAATTTTTTATACTTTATATATTTTAAAAGCTCACAGAGCTAGATAACCAAAATAAAAAATACTAAATTCACTAAAAAATTCAAAAGAGTTATTTATGATATGATCCAATTTTAATTGCCCAATACAGATATAACATAAAAAAAAACCTATTTCTAAAACGGTTTTTATAGATATAGATAGCTTTAGAGACTTAATTGATAATGTGATGGCTGGAAAATTTGAAAAATATTTAACACTTCGGGTTAAATACATGGCTAAAAATTTTGAAAATGTTAAAGATCGGCCTGGAAATTAGTAAAAAAGTAATATTATTAAGCTCTGACGTGTTGGAAATATTTAATTACGCGGGCGGGACGGGGTAACTTGCACAAAAATTAATAAATGAACGTGCCAAAATATATACACTAGTATTTTAAGAAAGGTATAAAAACATTATATACTTAAGAGTTGTTTCTAATTAGTAATTATTGAATTACGTAGAACAAATTCGGCTCGAATTATTGTTTAATAATATTCTAACTCCTTAAATTTAGCTTAATCATTTAAAGTATCCTTAAAGGATTATATTTATTCTGGAAAATGATTAATCTTCTCATGATTCTAAAAAATATATCTAGCTATAAACGTTTGGGTTAATAAATTTATAAAGATTAACAGCATTAAAAATTGTACTTACTAATTTTTTTTATAAAAATTTCAAAAATAAATAAATTTATATAAATACCAAAAAATGAAATTGGACATCATTTCATTTTTACATTTAAAAATAGCTTGTTATTTTTTTCTTCAAAATTTTTTTTAAAATTTATTTATATTTTTAAGATTTTGGTAGCAACCTTAAAAAAAAATAAAATTTATATAATTAATCTTGAAACAACATTGTGATAAATCTAAATTTTAATTTTATCTTGAATTTCAACGATATATCACTCTTCTGTTCTACTAAGGGTTACAGGCACAAGATCCACAACGAATTCCATTTGGACATGACATCCAGGGGCACCTTGGAAAACATTCTATTTCTATTTAAAATATAAAAATTAACACTAAAATATTATAAGTATAAAGCCACTTTATACATATTATTTTAAGATATCCAGCCATATATAACATACGAAAAAAAGCATTTTAAATCACAATGATATGGAGGAATTAAATCATTTATAAAAAGGATTAGAGTTTAGCAATATTACTAGACTAATGAATTGCAAAAAAAATAATTTTTTAATTTCATACTATATAAATTACACAATTTATATAAATTATGGCCCACTAACACAGCTATTAGAGACAACTTTACTCAAAGAAAACGCGAATTTAAAGGGAAAGAAAATGAAAGCTCTGGAGTAAAGGGTTATATATAATGTTGAAAGAGCTCATTGTAATTATAAAATAATATAACTATATTTTACATACCTCTAAATCTTCCATCCGTAGTTGTTAGTGTATCTGAAATTTAGTTATTTATATTAAACGCAGATATAATTTAACTATGTGATGAATTATCAATTAAATTAATAAATTATAAGGTATAGTCCAGCAGCGTCACTAACCTTTGCAATATTAATAGACTCAACTAAAAAAAAATTTATGGAGACTTGGGCACCCATACCCCCTTTCTTGGGTCTTCGGGCCTGTTTGGCCTTTGGCCAGGTTTTATTTTTTACTTAAAATTTGAAATTTGAAAAATGATTTTGAATTTCATATTTTGTCATTTATGCATCATATAATAAACATTAGAAGACACTTCTATAGATAAAATTTTTTAATAAAAAAAATTATTCATCTATTACAATATTAAATATTTTAAATTGTTGATAGAGATGTTGGTTAATTTGCAGTCATAAATAACACTCACTGTAATGTAGTAAAATATAGCAATAAACTAGTTGTATATTATGTAATTAGATATGGTTATTTATAATGATTATATATTTATGTTTAATATAATCATTTGTAAAGTTAACTAAATAGCACCATATAATTAAATTCATAATCTTTGCATTGTATAAATTAAAGATAGAATAAACTCTGTTATAGTTTATTATAAGCGGATTATTCAATGTAAACTTATATCTGAATTTATCATTTTAGATAAATTGATAAAACAAAAAAATAAAAATCTTTAGAAGAAATAATTATCCATATATTGAAGCCTTGAGTTATTTACACGGTAAGGATGCCATATTAAAAATGAATCATTTAGTAACTAGAAAATAAGGACCAGTGAGATATGATAGAAGCAATTAAGATTTTATATATTATTGTAGCACCTCAAGTTGGTTTA